TTTTTCTCGATCTTTGGCCTCGGCCATAGAAGCGAGAGCAACTTGATAATCCTGAAGGAGATCGGAGATGTCCATGTTCAGATTGCTCAGCAGCAAGCTGAAAATAGCTTGCAGCCCCTAGTGGGCAGCTTTCCTCTCTATTTCGAGGTTCTATTACTTCATTTGCTCGGTCAGTGAAGCGATTTGCCCATGAGCTAGTTTAAGGTCTGTTTGCAGTGCCCTCTTCCCTTTCTCTGAGTTTTCCCATAACTCAGCTCGAGTATTTTTTGTTGCTGCGCTCTAAGCTCGCTTGCAACTCCTTTTCTCTTTGGCCCAACTCTTTGGTGAGCCTCGCCACTATTCGTTGGAGCTCTTTATTGTTGTCATTCTTCTTTTCGAGCTCGATCCTTTGAAAGTCTGATGCTCGCAAAGCAAAATTCCTTTTAGTCATATATATATTCGCTTGAATGTGGGCAGCCTTTGCCTCTGTGTCTGAGGCCGCAAGATCTTGCTTTAGTTTGGCAATCTCTTCCTTCATTTCGTGGAGCTTGCCAGCAAAGTTGATCTTCTTCTTATTGTGGGATACACTCAAGGCGAGCAAAGACGACAAGCAAAGGAATAATAAGTTAGTTTTTTTCTAAAAAGATCTACTTATGTAAAAGAGTTTTCGGAGAGAACGAATCTTACATGACTTTGCATCTAGAGAGCAGTGGCTACAAGGTCAATAGACCAAGAAACCACATACATGTCAAAGGTTGTGGCCAGTTGGCATTCTAGAAGGTTGTAAACTACCGACTGCAAGTGATCCGATAGTTGCCCTAGAAGGTCCAACATGGATGGGTCAAGCCTGGTTGTAGTAGGGACATCTTCGACCTGCTCTTTGCCTGTCCCTCCTGAGTAGTCATATTTGCTCCTTCCTTCCCTTGCGAGCTCCTGGGGGCTTTCGAAGTCCCGAGAGCATCCTTTGAGGTCGTCCTCGCGGTGAAGAGTTGATAGGGTTGTAACCTAACTAGCAATATCCTGAAACCTTTTGGCTTAGATTCGATTTCCTCTCTTCTTAAACTTCTGGCCCACGGTCTTGTTCTTCGATGGATGAGCAGTAGCAAACCAAGGAGCTTCTTCACGCCGCTCAACGGGTTATTGCCTTTCGGCACCAATTTATTTCTCCCTCGTAAGGATATCACTAGAGGTTGCTCCAGCAGGTTTAATTGGGTTAATCTTGGGGAATGTGAACCCCCAAGCTTCTTCGCCATCTTCGGGATAAAGATGCATCAGCAAGCAAAGTCTTCTTTTGTTAAAAAGATTTAGAATTTCTTTATACAAGACATACTTATGAGTTGAACCTTCCAAAGAGGCACCAAGAGTGAAAAACTCGTACTTCCAAAGGCTGGTGGTAGTCACGAGTAGCCTTGTGTCACAACTCTGGTCGGGCAGTCGACCAAACGCTTCGATGCGACTGAGATCAATTAGCAATCTAGTCGTTTTGTTTTATGCAAGAAAGCAAAATGTTTGTTAGCCTAGTATGATAAGGAAAAGTTAAAAGATGAGTAATCTGCAAATTAAATGGATACTCAAAGAAAAATACTTGGTTTCGTAAGCCTCGACGTTATTGGGGTAACCAAATATCCCTCCCTCGATCGTTGATCGTTTGGAGAGACAATATGATTCCTTGTCTTTACTCTTCTTTAAATAATAGGTGTAGTTGAGCTCTTCTGCTGTTGGCTCATTGAGGTTGTGCTTGTCAAATGTGATATAAATAGTGACCGTTATCATATATGCATTCGGTGTTAGCTGGAATGGCGCGATTAGGAAATGATCGAGAATCGACTTGATGTAGGAATGGAGGGGTATCCTCACTCCACATTTGAAGATCGCTTCCGAGATCGCGACCATTGTCTTGAGGGATTCCTGAGCAGTGTGCGACCTGTACTGATACATGTTTACGTTGATCGCGTACTAGTCTATTGCTTTTTGGATTTTATCCTTCATGACTATTGATTGTATCACCTTTTCGGGACCCGTCGAGGTGCCCGGTGGTTGCGAGCTTCCCTTTCTGGCTGTTCTCGCCTTAGGGGTGTCCATTGCTCTTCGAGTCTATAAAGAGGTGACATGTTGGGATGACTCAGTCTTCTATACATTACCTCGTATGATGACTCAGAAGAGTAAAAGAACCTTGGTTTCTCTTCTAGAGTCGCCAAAACTGTAAAAACCCTAAAAATTCCTAAGAAAGAATTTCTAAAGATTTATGTCCTAAGTTTCGACTCTTGAAAGTGTTTCTTTCCAAACACTACCCAAGAATGTTCACCATCTAAGCCTAGCAGATGTCCACACCCACCATTACTGTAAAAACTATGTTTTTGATAGAAATGAAAAAGAGAAAAAGAGAAGAAATTTCTTTACTGCTTTATTGTTGGGAATAGACACTTTGTTGTAGCTTCAAGTGCGCATTAACTGGAAAAAAGGTGAACTGATCTCTAGAGTGCAAAAATACTATTTTTCTCTCTAAAAGTTTGAGTTTTGTGAAAAAACTTGGAATGGGCTTCAGGTTTTATAGGGTGGAAGACAACGCTTGGTTTCTTTTGTAAGTGACGTTTGAGTAAGAACACGTTTCCAACCATTGATTGTGACCACATGTCATTAATCCGCACAAAAAGTAACTTTCACGCTTCGTGAAGATCAACCGGCATTTCTCTTTATTGGAATCGTCAAATGCCGGCGTGATTATCTCCTCCACATTAAATGCGCTCTCATCTGCATTTAATGCTTTCAAAGGGAATGTCGTTTTAGCATGACTTGCATTTAATGCTCATGGCTGACACTTATTATGCAGAGACACGTCTGTCAGATAAAGCTTATTTTATTGATCAAGTTAGCTGTCAAGCACAACGGATAACATTTGAGGAGGTCATTCGAATAAGACACTTTTCTCCACGTGTCAAATTCGAGCAAGGTGATCCTCAGTTTTCGGCAATAAAACGCTCTGAATGTTTTCAGGTCGTGAATAATGGATAGAGTTCAAAATGCATTTTTATAGCATTGAGCAGGATCTGCCATGGGTCATTGAACCATTTGGAAAGATCACCTCAGGTCGCTTGTGTAACTCTCGAAAATCCATGTCGAGATCTCTACTTAGTTCTTTGGTCAAGTTAGGCCATTGGTCTCATGTCGTTTGTAACAATGTGGCTGTCCCCAATTGTTAGTTCAGGCAAAGGCTCTTTGAGACAAGTTCGGTCACGTCATAATCATGAAGTTCTCAAGATTTAATCTTTGAACCTTAAGAACTGGGGAGCTTCTGTTATGCCTAAAAAATCAGGGCTGACGTTGGCCTACATTAGCAAGCACCAATTAGAGTTCAGGAAGGTTTTGCACTGCCTAGGAGCTTCCGCGTTGCTCCATGACAAAAAGAATATGGTTGTCACCAACTTGATAGATTCAGGTTTTGTCTATGAGTGATTGAGGGTTGCACACCTGTCCAAGGCCCAGGTAATTTGAGGATATTTCCGAAGTTACCAGCCAACGGGAGGCAAGGAAGGGCTTGCATGACACTTATCCACCTGCAGATTTGTAATCATTACCTTGAATTCCTCTATTATAAATAGAGGACTCCCTCTTTCATTTTCAGGATTCTGATCTTGAACCTTCATTTTGATTGTAATCTTTATTTTCGGAGCAAAGATAACCTATGAGAAAGAGACTGACTTGATATTCTCTCTAAATATTTAGTTATTGTACCTCTGCCTACTGTTCGCTATACGTGACCTCTTGTAATCTCTCACATATAAAATAAACAGTGGACGTAAGATTCGCTTTAAGCATCTGAACCACTTTAAAAACCATCTCTCATTTATCATTTAGTCTTTGCATTTGATTATCATAATCATTCACGTGTAATTTCTAAGAGCAGCTTACCATTTTGCACGTGTGAGTCGTTAGTGTCAAAATCACACATCAACAAATAAAAATCTGACATAAATTATAATCAGGAACATCGATAATATGGATGTTGCTGCAATAGCAAGTTGAAGCAATGGTGAAAGCTGATTAAAATGTTCAACAACTTCTCTGGGATTTCTGTTAGTTTTAACATCAATAATTTTACAATGCTTACTTCCTAAACCTGGAATTTGGTCTGATTCTCTTTCAGCAGATTATGCCAGTACCATATACATATTACTTTTGTTTAGCCATATAAATTAATGGGTACCCAACATTTTGTCAAAGTGTCCGGACCCTGAATTATTTATTTTTGTTATGAAAAACTATGCCCAACAAGAAACTCTCAGAACATGATGCAACAAATTTCATGTTTTGATTTCATTATTGGTGAAAGATGCACAAAAGAACCACGCACTTAATTTGGAATGTGTGATCATGTTTCTGTCATTGGAGCATCAATGAGAAAATAAAAGCCAGTCAGCAAGTGACAAAAGAAATGTCACCCAGGGAAAGAACAATTACAAGCAGAAAATCAAATACTTAATGAAGTTGACATAGAGTATACACATTAAAAAACAGATTATACTGTAAATTTATCTGCAAAGTTGGATTTGTATTCTCAAAACATTGGATAAATACAGTCATGCACAAACAGTCTAAAAACATTACCAGTGTTTGTATCAAAACCAAGTCAGATAATTACCGTCAAGGCCGGCTTTTTTGTTGTTTCATGGCATTTATTTATTTGTTCTCTTGTTTGAATTTTGTATTATTATGGGGTTCTGATCTGAGAATCCTATGTGTTTTTTGGGTAGGATAAGGAGATGATAATATAATAATTTAGTAAAACAAGCATAATCTGACAGCTAAAACCTGAAGACAGAACAAATTCCATCTCAAGAAAAAAGAAAATTAAAATGATCCTAATTTCGCTATGACGGCATTGTGGAAAAACTGAAAAAAAACAAAGAAACAAAGGTGGACCTTTTCCAATAGGAGAAACAATAAGAGTCAAAGAAGTAGTGCCTGCTTTACTTTTGATAATCCATCTCTCTATTCATATAAATTGCTCTTGAATCTAAAGATTTTGATCTTTTGAAAGAGAATAGGTCAGATCAGATATAAAGAAATGAATCTTATGTGGCTTGGTTTACTTCGGTTAGTTCCCGTTTGGTTTAATTTCTTGAAAAGCTGGGTTGGAGCCTGCTCCATATACCATTGTAACTTTCCTCTTCATCTAGTTGTCTTGTCTTGTTTAGTTATGATGAATCCAATTTTGTATATTCAACTCAATTCTGTTTGTTGTGGGTGCTTGCTATTCCTTTGGTAACTTGTTCTTTTGTTTACCTTATGGAATTTTAGTTAGTTCTTAGGGAGAGACCATGAAGCTCACCAATACTAAGAGTCGTTTGTTTTGGGGTCTAGTCCCAATATTTGAGGGGAATTTCAATGGATGTTTATTGAAGGATCTTCGAAAGAAAATCATGATATTTTTTGTTCTGAGTGTGAACATTTTATCTCTGAATGGTTGAGTACTACATGTTGAAGTGCCACGTTATTTGAATCCGTTTATCGCTTAATTTACTTCGATCAACTTCATTGTGATGTTTTGTGCAGCTGGAATTTAACAAAATAATTCTTTAACAGTGTAGTTGTAATGCTTTAAGTTGTAAATGATGGTCCATTTATTGTCTTCCCCCTCTAGTTTATTCAATAAATTGGTAGGAGTATGCAATCTGGATGCCATTCTGATGAAGATTTTACTTTATTTTTTAGTCTGCAAACATTTCACTTATTGATATTGTTTCTCATTCTCTCTTTCTTTTCAAAATTCTCTTTCTTGTAGTTTCTGATGAGCGTGGTAGACGGCTTGCTATCTGGAGTCTGATCACTAGCACGGTGTGCTTTATTTTTGCATTTAAACTTGAAGACGGATTCCTTTCCAGGTTTCTGTCATTCACCTTAGTGGTTTCTCTTTTCACAACTGAATACCTAATCTATGGTAGATTGGGCATCCAGGATGTCTCACCTGTTAGTTTCTTTGAAGGTAGGAATATTTTCAGAATTACACATTTACTTGAACAAATGAAAACCTCTAAATGTCAATTAAGATTATGAAATGTTACGAATTTTAACTTCTCAGTGGAATCTTCATTCTAAGTTTCTTACATGGCTTTGGAAACTGATTATGGATTTTAATCAGGCATTGTAGCACGATGGACGATGCTGTTCCTGCAATAGAATGCACGTCAACTTCAAGCTTTCAAGGATTTAGCACTGTTGTATATTTTCTGTCACATTAGTATTTTTGGCTGCTAAAGAAGGGCATATTTAGTACCGCTCTTCATCAAGAATCTTTGATCAATCAGTTTTAACTCACGAACAATGGCTCGTGATCTTGAAACCAAGCGATAGCACCAACAATGAGGATATTCCCCTGACCTCTTAACTTGATCCTGTTTGATGAGTTACTTGGAGAGGTTCAATAATACCTCCAAACTTAGTTGAAGGCTATTGTTTAGATCAGGTCGTACCACCCAATTCCAACAAGGTGTGTCGCCACCAAAGACGCTTTTAGTCACGCTAAAACGCGAAAATGGGCGAAAGCCTATGCCGCGCACACTACAGGCATAAAGATAAGGAAAACAGGTGGTATATAATTAGCTAAAAGGCTCGAAGGGACCAGTGAATACCGGTGTGAAGTTGGTAGAAACCTATAGCTTTGCGACTTGACGGTATGTCCAATCATGAACCGTCTCACGCCACATCGCATGGGCACCACCACAAGAGTGCAAGGCAGGGAACTCTTATTATCGCCAGAATGATGGTTCTGACCATCACTACGAGGGAAATGCCCACCATCCATGGTTGATTCTGACCACGTGGAGTCGAGATAACTCCCTTAGCCATTAGTGCTTTCACATGGCTTCAGCCAGCGGGTGCCAGATGTCGAAGGTTCCGGCCAAGGCAGGGAAGGTTTGATCTGCAGTCTTTCCTCAATTGCAATCATGAGAGGTGAACCCACGTTACGAAGTGATCCCCAGGTAACTCCACTTCCTTAGATCGGGAGTGTTACATAGCTCTGATCAACTTAGAGCTTAGCAAAAGAAGCGAGGAGGTCATTGGGGCATCTCCCTTTTCTCCTATATGTATTGACTGCTCTCTCCTGTCAAGGTTTAGAATGCCCGATATGCAACATTCGATGAATTCTGATCCGCAGATCATCTCTATGAGTTTACAACCTTGTAAAGCTCCATCAAGTTCCAACTTGGCGAAATGTCATGTCTAGCAGTGCTCTGACTATCCATGCCAAGCACTAGTTTAGATCTTCCACCAGATCGATCTATTAACTCGTGGTAGCATATAGTTGTTATTTTTGAGACACTTCCAGACTAATAGGAAGTTCTCAATGCTGTAGCTATCTAAGCAACATCCGACACGAGAGAATGAGTCCCTCTAGTCCTATATTGACAGGTTCCACAGAGAGCTGAAAAGTGGCTAATACATCAAAAGATTCAATTCGGACTCTTTTATACAAGGTTTGCCCGCAAACCAACATGTGGAAAAACTACAATCTGAGATGATATTTTCCTCACTTGTTTTCTACAATCTACCAAGAATCTCCGAATTGAGAATTTTCTGGTTGCTCTGAATCGCCACAATCTTGGTCTTCGACTAGTGCTCCCAATTGGAGGGAGGAAAACCAGAGAATAGTAAAGACATGATCCCAGTGGGTTAATGATAATCAGCAAAGGGAAAGAAACACGATTTGAGCCCAAAAAGTCTTATGCTCAGGTCCCTCATCGAATCGCGACAGAATTAGTATACTCGGCTAAATGCATCGTTATCAGCTATTCTGGTAAATCAGAAGAGACTATCTGCTGCGAAACCAGAGGCCATGATAATCCCCCTTCAACAAGAAATAGCAAGAAATATTGCCGTTATTATCGAGATAATGGCACTATACCGATGAATGCCGAGCTCTTAAGTAGGCAATTGAGACTTCATTAAAATGGGAAATTCAAGTAAATTTGATGGTCTAACTCCCGTTAGGGAGAAGGATCAAGGGGAGCGGAAAGAATGCCGTGGTCGCAAGGGTTTCCATTTTGTTGGGATCATTTTTGGAGGACCACACCTCATAGGAATTCTCAAGGCGCTCAAGAGAAGTACGCTTGAGAACTTGTCATGACCCTGTGAGTGTGATGAACATGGTGTCGCACTTGCCAAGGTGCGTAGAGAGGATGAGATTACATTCTAAGAGAAAGACGTGATACATTGCATCACCCTCATGAGGATGCACTCTCATCATAATTGATGTCTTTGACTTTTTTGTAGTGATCGCGCCAAGCACTACACACGGATTATTTCACTATCACTACAAAGAGTTCAAAGACTTTGTCTTCAAGATATAGTGTGCCGATATGGAATTCCTCATACACTCATATCTGATAACGAAAACAGTTCATAATGAGAATTCAAGTAATTTTGCGAAGAGCTAAAGATTCATAAGAATTCGCCTCAGTAGCAAGATCCGGGCTAATGGTTAAGTTGTTACAAACGATCACTATACACAGCGGAAAACAAAAACATAATACAAGGACGTTCCAAAGAGCCAAGATCAAAGGTATAATTTTACAGTATATTAAAGTAGAAAGCGCAAAAATAATCTAGAGTTTAAGAAACCATACGCACTTTTGGAGGCTCCTCCAAATTTGTCTTGAACGTTTTGCTACGACCGTGTAGGATCAACCGACGTAGTCCACACGAAGACAATCACAAAGAACTAAGAGGGATTTGCTAGACCACTCTTAGCTTTAAGATCAAAGAAGAAAAATCAAATAGATTGATTTTAGACAAAAATGAATCTTCCGTGGGAGAGGAAATGGGGCTGATGTGTTTTTCTCTTTACAATGAAAATGAACTATAAAAAATCTATTTACTTCAATTAACACTTTTCTTTTATAGTGTTATTTTAATTGCCCTATTCCCATATAGATAGGATGGGCTCCAACCCAAACACCCATGTTACCAAACACTCCCAATTAGATATTATCTTATTTCATCATTATCTCAATAAAAATCAATTAATATATATTTAATCTATTATATATATATATTAACATTTAACAATAATGATGATTTAATTAAATATATGCGATCACATATTTAAACGTATTTTTCACTTATTTAATTTTTCTAATAAATTAAATAAAGGCTACGACCTCAGCAAATTTAATTGCACTATGAAATTACCAAATACCCTTTCGCTAAAAAGACAAAATGCCTTCTTTCTTCCTGAGTCTAAATTATCTTCTATGTGTGTGACCCTATGGCTCTCATCATACCAGTATTGTAGTATCGCGATTAACACCAATTAATCTCTCACTAATACACAGAGCAAGATTGGCCCCTAGCAAGGCATCGTCCCCACTAATAATTCGGATTCAGCAAAGTAGCTACCTGTCAACGATATGGTTACCGTACAATTTGATCCTTTCATCATCGTTATCTCGACAGACGAAGGCATAGAAATAGTGTCAACCTCGGTTGCTCTCGATATTATGTATTTAGTTTCTGGACCAATGACCTGTATTATAATCTAGATAGAGCAATAACTCAATCTCACATGGCCACAGTTTTAGTGTCATTGCCATATACTGAATTGCGCGTGAGATAACTCTCCTGTACCCGAGTGATGAATCCTTTGTCAATCCACCATAGTCTTGATACACTTCTTGATGCAGCCAATCACCACCGTATTGACTACTCTGACTAGAACTGCGTTAGGCTAGTGTCAAATTGCACCAATGGTGCGTAAGGTACCTCCTGTGATCTCAAGTCTAAGGATCATATGCACCACCATTCGTTAGAGGTTTGTTCCATAGACACTAGGGTTACCATCCTATGGAATCCTCTGGGGGTCGTGTCCATGAACTTACTACGGTGTCTTCGCCTACAGCAGCACCCATGTGTTGTAACCAGTTGTGCTTGAAAGTAATCAGTCACTGCCTTTCGATAGGGTCATTCATACTATGATAGTCTTACCGTATTATCTTGCCCTTACTTCAAAATAATACTGGGCCTATGAACGTTTCTAGAATGGCCACCATATGTGATCATAGGGTTCTCACTATCAAGATTTGAAAACTTGATAGCCTCGTCACGGTTTACCATTCTAAGACATATATCAATACATATTGTAATAATATGATTTACGCGCATAGAATAAAAGCCTTTTATTGATTAATGAACATTATCACAAAGAGTCAATTCTACAATAATTGATTGACTCTAGGGCATCTACTCTAACATAAGTTGAAGCTGTCAACAAGACTATTAAGTACACATTGAAGGCCAAGCTTGGTGCAGCCAAGGGTAATTAGGCCGTGATCTCCTAGAAGTTCTATAGCATATAGACGACTCCAAATACCTCTTCTTCGAAACACCTTTCTCGCGCTGGTATATGGCTAAGAAATAATCCTAGTGGAGTAGGAGCTGGTTCACTTCGGAGTGAATTTTACAATGAAATAACACGAAGCACTCTATGTGCAAGTCTGGACTTAGTTGAAGAACACCACGACAAGCTTGGTTAATGATAGCTTCCTATTAGTAGTGGGCAAAAGATTCTTCGACTCTAAAGTTAGGAGAATAACTTTAGGTTGGCGACCTGGTGTTGAAAGAAGTCCTTCTTGTAAAAGAACCAAGTGGGGGGTATTGGGCCCTAACTAGGAAGGTCCATATCGTGTCGCAAGGTGTATACGACCTTGGAACATATTACCTCAAGAGCTTAATGGTTCTAGAGTACGGCGAGCTTGTAATGCTGATCTTCGCCCTTATTATTAGTATTCAAACTCACTTATAGCTTGATCATTTTTACTGTACAATTTTCATTGTTGTAAATACTATGAATAGATTATTCCAATTCCCCTTAAAGAATTACTTGTGTCGTAATCTCAAGTTTTTAATAATCTGACTGTTTATAACATTTAACAAGTTTGATATCAAATATGCTATATTTGTTTTGTGAATACTTAAGTTATAAAGTGCTATCACAACTGGTCAAAGGTTCCTTTTTATATATCTAAAAAATATGTACAAGAGACGACTAGACTACTCAGAAAGAATAAGTACAAAAACTATATTCAAGCAGAAAAGAGACGATCACTATGGTCTTGATCACCAAGATCCTTGACTTTAGCTACCTGCCTCTGGTCGTCCAGTTGATTGCTGACCTCTAGGTCGCCTACTCGATCTTCAGGGATTCCTGCTTCCAGCTGATCGACCTCTAGGGCAGCTCTTGTTTTTCTCGATCTTTGGCCTCGCCATAGAGCGAGAGCAACTTGATAATCCTGAAGGAGATCGAGATGTCCATGTTCAGATGTTCAGCAGCACCTGAAAATAGCTTGCAGCCCTATGGGGCAGCTTTCCTCTCTATTTGAGGTTCTATTACTTCATTTGCTCGGTCAGTGAACGATTTGCCCATGAGCTAGTTTAAGGTCTGTTTGCAGTGCCCTCTTCCCTTTCTCTGAGTTTTCCCATACTCAGCTCGAGTCTTTTTTGTTGCTGCGCTCTAGCTCGCTTGCAACTCCTTTTCTCTTTGGCCCAACTCTTTGGTGAGCCTCGCCACTATTCGTTGGAGCTCTTTATGTTGTCATTCTTCTTTTCGAGCTCGATCCTTTGAAATTCTGATGCTCGCAAAGCAAAATCCTTTTTAGTCATATATATATATCGCTTGAATTGTGGCAGCCTTTGCCTCTGTGTCTGAGGCCGCAAGACTTGCTTTAGTTGCAATCTCTTCCTTCATTTCGTGGAGCTTGCCAGCAAAGTGATCTTCTTCTTATTGTGGGATACACTCAAGGCGGCAAAGACGACAACAAAGGAATAATAGTTAGTTTTTTTCTAAAAAGTCTACTTATGTAAAAGAGTTTTCGGAGAGAACGAATCTTACTTGACTTTGCATCTAGAGAGTAGTGGCTCCAAGGTCAATAGACCGAAAACCACATACATGCCAAAGGTTTGGGCCAGTTGGCATCTAGAAGGTTGTAACTACCGCCGCAAGTGATCCGATAGTTGCCCTAGGTCCAACATGGATGGGTCAAGCCTAGTTGTAGTAGGGACATCTTCGACCTGCTCTTTGCCTATCCCTCCTGATAGTCATATTTGCTCCTTCCTTCCCTTGCGAGCTCCTGGGGCTTTCGAAGTCCCGAGAGCATCCTTTGAGGTCGTCCTCGCGGTGAAGAGTTATAGGGTTGTAACCTAACTAGCAATATCCATCTGAAACTTTTGGCTTAGATTCGATTTCCTCTCTTCTTAAACTTCTGGCCCCGGTCTTGTTCTTCGATGGATGAGCAAGACAACCAAGGAGCTTCTTCACGCCGCTCAACGGGTTTTGCCTTTCGGCACCAATTTATTTCTCCCTCGCAAGGATATCACTAAGAGTTGCTCCACAGTTATATTGGTTAATCTTGGGGAATGTGAACCCCCAAGCTTCTTCGCCATCTTCGGGATAAAGATGCATCGCAAGCAAAGTCTTCTTTTGTTAAAAGATTAGAGAATTTCTTTATACAAGACATACTTATGAGTTGAACTCTCAAAGAGGCACCAAGAGTGAAAACTCGTACTTCCAAGGCTGGTGGTAGCACGAGTAGCCTTGTGTCACAACTCTGGTCGGGCAGTCGACCAAACCTTCGATGCGACTGAGATCAATTAGCATCTAGTCGTTTTGTTTTATGCAAGAAAGCAAAATGTTTGTTAGCCTAGTATGATAAGGAAAAGTTAAAAGATGAGTAATCTGCAATAAATGGATACTCAAAGAAAAATACTTGGTTTCGTAACCCCCGACGTTATTGGGGTAACCAAATATCCCTCCCTCGATCGTTGATCGTTTGGAGAGCAATATGATTCCTTGTCTTTACTCTTCTTTAAATAATAGTGTAGTGACGTCTTCTGCTGTTGGCTCATGAGGTTGTGCTTGTCAAATGTGATATAATAGTGACCGTTATCATATATGCATTCGGTGTTTGCTGGAATGGCGCATTAGGAAATGATCGAGAATCGACTTGATGTAGGAATGGAGGGTACCTCACTCCACATTTGAAGATCGCTTCCGAGATCGCGCCATTGTCTTGAGGGATTCCTGAGCAGTGTGCGACCTGTACTGATCCATGTTTACGTTGATCGCGTACTAGTCTATTGCTTTTTGATTTCATCCTTCATGACTATTGATTGTATCACCTTTTCGGGACCCTCGAGGTGCCGCGTGGTTGCGAGCTTCCCTCTGGCTGTTCTCGCCTTAGGGTGTCCATTGCTCTTCGAGTCTATAAAGAGGTGACATGTGGATGACTCAGTTCTTCTATCAATTACCTCGTATGATGACTCAGAAGAGTAAAAGAACCTTGGTTTCTCTTCTAGAGTCGCCAAAACTGTAAAAACCCAAAATTCCTAAGAAAGAATTTCTAAAGATTTATGTCCTAAGTTTCGACTCTTGAAAGTGTTTCTTTCCAAACACTACCCAGAATGTTCACCATCTAAGCCTAGCAGAGTCCACACCCCCATTACTGTAAAAACTATGTTTTTGATAGAAATGAAAAAGAGAAAAAGAGAAGAAATTTCTTTACTGCTTATTGTTGAATAGACACTTTGTTGTAGCTCAAGTGCGCATTAACGAAAAAAGGTGAACTGATCTCTAGAGGTGCAAAAATACTATTTTTCTCTCTAAAATTTGAGTTTTGTGAAAAAACTTGGAATGGGCTTCAGGTTTTATAGTGGAAGACAACGCTTGGTTTCTTTTGTAAGTGACGTTTGAGTAGGAACACTTTTCCAACCATTGATTGTGACCACATGTCATTAATCTGCGAAAAAGACTTTCACGCTTCTTGAAGATCAACCGGCGTTTCTCTTTATTGGAATCGTCAAATGCCGGCGTGATTATCTCCTCCACATAATGCGCTCTCTTGCATTTAATGCTTTCAAAGGGAATCGTTTTAGCATGACTTGCATTTAATGCTCATGGCTGACACTTATTATGCAGAGACACGTCTGTCAGATAAAACTTATTTTATTGATCAGTCAGCTGTCAAGCACAACGGATAACATTTGAGGAGGTCATTCGAATGAACACTTTTCTCCACGTGTCATTCGAGCAAGGTGATCCTCATTTTTTCGGCAATAAACGCTCTGAATGTTTTCAGGTCGTGAATAATGGATAGAGTTCAAAATGCATTTTTATAGCATTGAGCAGGATCTGCCATGGTCATTGAACCATTTGGAAAGATCACCTCAGGTCGCTTGTTGAACTCTCGAAATCCATGTCGAGATCTCTACTTAGTTCTTGGTCAAGTTAGGCCATTGGTCTCATGTCTTTTGTAACAATGTGGCTGTCCCCAATTGCTAGTTCAGGCAAAGGCTCTTTGAGACAAGTTCGGTCACGTCATAATCATGAAGTTCTCAAGATTTAATCTTTGAACCTTAAACTGGGGACTTCTGTTATGCCTAAAAAATCAGGGCTGACGTTGGCCTCATTAGCAAGCACCAATGAAGTTCAGGAAGGTTTTGCACTGCCTAGAGCTTCCGCTTTGCTCATGACAAAAAGAATATGGTTTCACCAACTTGATAGATTCAGGTTTTGTCTATGGTGATTGAGGGTTGCACACCTGTCCAAGGCCCAGGTAATTTGAGGATATTTCCGAAGTTACCAGCCAACGGGAGGCAAGGAAGGGCTTGCATGCACTTATCCACCTGCAGATTTGTAATCATTACCTTGAATTCCTCTATTATAAATAGAGGACTCCCTCTTTCATTTTCAGGATCTGATCTTGAACCTTCATTTGATTGTAATCTTTATTTTCGGAGCAAAGATAACCTATGAGAAAAGAGATGACTTGATATTCTCTCTAAATATTTAGTTATTGTACTCTTTTGTACCTCTGCCTACTGTTCGCTATACGTGACCTCTTGTAATCTCTCACATATAAAATAAACAGTGGACGTAAGATTCGCTTTAAGCATCTGAACCACTTTAAAAACCATCTCTCATTTATCATTTAGTCTTTGCATTTGATTATCATAATCATTCACGTGTAATTTCTAAGAGCAGCTTACCATTTTGCACGTGTGAGTCGTTAGTGTCAAAATCACACATCAACAAATAAAAATCTGACATAAATTATAATCAGGAACATCGATAATATGGATGTTGCTGCAATAGCAAGTTGAAGCAATGGTGAAAGCTGATTAAAATGTTCAACAACTTCTCTGGGATTTCTGTTAGTTTTAACATCAATAATTTTACAATGCTTACTTCCTAAACCTGGAATTTGGTCTGATTCTCTTTCAGCAGATTATGCCAGTACCATATACATATTACTTTTGTTTAGCCATATAAATTAATGGGTACCCAACATTTTGTCAAAGTGTCCGGACCCTGAATTATTTATTTTTGTTATGAAAAACTATGCCCAACAAGAAACTCTCAGAACATGATGCAACAAATTTCATGTTTTGATTTCATTATTGGTGAAAGATGCACAAAAGAACCACGCACTTAATTTGGAATGTGTGATCATGTTTCTGTCATTGGAGCATCAATGAGAAAATAAAAGCCAGTCAGCAAGTGACAAAAGAAATGTCACCCAGGGAAAGAACAATTACAAGCAGAAAATCAAATACTTAATGAAGTTGACATAGAGTATACACATTAAAAAACAGATTATACTGTAAATTTATCTGCAAAGTTGGATTTGTATTCTCAAAACATTGGATAAATACAGTCATGCACAAACAGTCTAAAAACATTACCAGTGTTTGTATCAAAACCAAGTCAGATAATTACCGTCAAGGCCGGCTTTTTTGTTGTTTCATGGCATTTATTTATTTGTTCTCTTGTTTGAATTTTGTATTATTATGGGGTTCTGATCTGAGAATCCTATGTGTTTTTTGGGTAGGATAAGGAGATGATAATATAATAATTTAGTAAAACAAGCATAATCTGACAGCTAAAACCTGAAGACAGAACAAATTCCATCTCAAGAAAAAAGAAAATTAAAATGATCCTAATTTCGCTATGACGGCATTGTGGAAAAACTGAAAAAAAACAAAGAAACAAAGGTGGACCTTTTCCAATAGGAGAAACAATAAGAGTCAAAGAAGTAGTGCCTGCTTTACTTTTGATAATCCATCTCTCTATTCATATAAATTGCTCTTGAATCTAAAGATTTTGATCTTTTGAAAGAGAATAGGTCAGATCAGATATAAAGAAATGAATCTTATGTGGCTTGGTTTACTTCGGTTAGTTCCCGTTTGGTTTAATTTCTTGAAAAGCTGGGTTGGAGCCTGCTCCATATACCATTGTAACTTTCCTCTTCATCTAGTTGTCTTGTCTTGTTTAGTTATGATGAATCCAATTTTGTATATTCAACTCAATTCTGTTTGTTGTGGGTGCTTGCTATTCCTTTGGTAACTTGTTCTTTTGTTTACCTTATGGAATTTTAGTTAGTTCTTAGGGAGAGACCATGAAGCTCACCAATACTAAGAGTCGTTTGTTTTGGGGTCTAGTCCCAATATTTGAGGGGAATTTCAATGGATGTTTATTGAAGGATCTTCGAAAGAAAATCATGATATTTTTTGTTCTGAGTGTGAACATTTTATCTCTGAATGGTTGAGTACTACATGTTGAAGTGCCACGTTATTTGAATCCGTTTATCGCTTAATTTACTTCGATCAACTTCATTGTGATGTTTTGTGCAGCTGGAATTTAACAAAATAATTCTTTAACAGTGTAGTTGTAATGCTTTAAGTTGTAAATGATGGTCCATTTATTGTCTTCCCCCTCTAGTTTATTCAATAAATTGGTAGGAGTATGCAATCTGGATGCCATTCTGATGAAGATTTTACTTTATTTTTTAGTCTGCAAACATTTCACTTATTGATATTGTTTCTCATTCTCTCTTTCTTTTCAAAATTCTCTTTCTTGTAGTTTCTGATGAGCGTGGTAGACGGCTTGCTATCTGGAGTCTGATCACTAGCACGGTGTGCTTTATTTTTGCATTTAAACTTGAAGACGGATTCCTTTCCAGGTTTCTGTCATTCACCTTAGTGGTTTCTCTTTTCACAACTGAATACCTAATCTATGGTAGATTGGGCATCCAGGATGTCTCACCTGTTAGTTTCTTTGAAGGTAGGAATATTTTCAGAATAACACATTTACTTGAACAAATGAAAACCTCTAAATGTCAATTAAGATTATGAAATGTTACGAATTTTAACTTCTCAGTGGAATCTTCATTCTAAGTTTCTTACATGGCTTTGGAAACTGATTATGGATTTTAATCAGGCATTGTAGCACGATGGATGATGCTGTTCCTGCAATAGAATGCACGTCAACTTCAAGCTTTCAAGGATTTAGCACTGTTGTATATTTTCTGTCGAGTAATACTAGCCTTACAAAAAAGAATACAAAGAACTATATAAAGAGTCATATCCAACCCTTGAAAAAAGGGAAAAAAAAGAGAGAGAAAGAGACAATGATGAATTTCAAGGGTTAGATTTGACTTTTTATATGCCTCTTTATAAGGTTAGTATTGCCCTTTTCTGTTAGGGCACTAGAAACGCAAGTTTATATACAATCAATGCTTTGGTCTCAGGACTGCTAAGGGCTTCATTAGAGTGATATCTGGGCATGACTCTTTCATGGTAATAAACCTTCAGTGTCTGTTATATTTATGTTTCAGTATTTAGTTTCTCGGGCAGCACTTGCCGCCACTTTGTTGTTGATTTGATCAGACACGACTTAGAACAGAAGAATAGATGAAATTACTTGTTTATACATTATGAGCACATGGGTTGGGCTAGGTTAATGGGTTTCAAGTAGACCTGACAAAGTGTAACCCGTATCTGCGGGTAAACGAGTACCCAGTCCAAACGGACGGGTACGAATAATATCATTAATTACCCATGCCTGGCCTGTCTGTGAAAATTGCGGGTGATACCTACAGGTGCCTGCGAGTACCTGCATTTTACTTTAAAAAATAAAAAATAAAAAACTGTAAAGCATTTCTCTCTCAGGCTGCGCAGTCACCACTCATTAAACGCCACCACTTTTTTCATCAATCCTTCTGTCGCTTCCATTAAACTCCACCTCTCTTTTTCTCTCTCTTTCTTCATCAATGCTTCTAACACTTCCATAAACTCCAACTCTCTTTTTTTCTCTTTTTTCATCAATCCTCCAACCAAACAAGTCTGCCTCTCTTTCTCTCTGTTTATAGCCAAAAACAAAAACTCAAAATATCTGAGAATGGACTCACAGCACAGCAACAACAATACTAGTACAACTACAACTCCTACAAGCAAAACAAGTGAGCTCTTCATTTGTTTTACTTCTCGCCTTGCCTCTTCTGCCTCGATGAAATCACTTCTAAATCAATCTTGAGTCCTGACAATGCTAGAGATTCTTCCCAAATCTCCCTCTCTACTTCTCTCAGTCAGAGATTAAGAAACAGTGGTAGTATCAAAGGCGGCCAAGCTTCACCCATGTTCCTGCTTCCAATGGCAAGACGTGGGTGTTCTTTTGAGAACGCTGAACTTTCTTCTCCCAAGAAACCAAAAATTTTAAAAACATGGCAGGAAAAATAAGAGCTAGATCCAAGAATAGGGAGGTTAGTTTTAGAAACGGGTGACCCACGAGTCACCCTGTACTCGTATGGGCGGGTACGAGTCATGTGTTTTCCAACCCACAAAAAATTTTTCACCCATGGACCCGTACCCGTTACTCGACTTGCCTGTTTGCCAGATCTACTTGCAAGTGAGGATTTAGATTGAACTGAGTAAATTGACTTGATTTGAGCGGCTACTTAATAAAATTGCACTTACTAGATATGCTTTGAGCTTATGCTATGAACAATTGTAGTCCACAAGACTAGAGCTGTATACGAGCCGAGCCGAGCCGAGTCAAGTTTTCGACTTATCGAGTTCGGCTCGTTTGCTACAGGATTGAGCTCGAGCCTGTCGAGTCAGAGAAAAGGGATTTGAACTCGAGCTCGATCGAGTTCGAGCCGACTCGACTTCATGTTCATCATTTGCATCTTTATCTCCATCATCTTCATCATCTGCATATCTTTATCTTCATCATCTTAATCTTTATCTCCATCATCTTCATCTTCATCTTCGTCTCCATCTCATCTTCATTTTGCAGAACATCACGATTTATGCTGCTTCCATCTCCATCCCCATCTTCTTCATCTTCATCCTCGACACAACCTTATGTGGATTTTGATTTTGATTTTTGATTATAAAAATTTGCAAGAACAAACTTAGGGGTTAGGGTTTGTCAATTTGGGAAATCTGATTTGGGGGTTTAATTTTGTGTTTTATTACATTGGGGGGTTAAAATTTTTAAAACTAAGGAATAAAGATAACACTTCAATCCCCACAGTTTATAAAATATAACAAATGAAACCCTGCTTAGCCTATCCACATCAAGCTCGTGAGCCTACGAGCCGAGCCGAGCCTCTCCATGTTTGAACTCGGATCATTTTATATAGCGAGCTGGAACTGAGTTGACTTAGCTAATCACGAGCCGAGTCATAAACGAGCTTCAGATGAGCCGAGCTGAGCCGACTCGCGAGCCGCTTGGCTCTGACAGCCCTACACAGGACCACATGGCAGCTTTTTCGGTAATAAAGAACATCACAATGGAATTTCATTTGCACTAGTTCTGTCATTGGATAAACTTTTACAGAGTTTTCTGAGCCTGGTTTTATTACCTTATATGCATATCAAACTAAATCTAGAGTGTTGTTCCTCTTTTATGCGCCAACTCAAAACACTCGCTTGCAAATCTGTAAAAATGGGGACTGCATCGATACTAACATATTTTGCATTCTATTTTGTTTTGGTTAGATTGACAAATGCCATGCCACACAGGAAAAAGAACTAACAGAAGCATGAATAAAAAACTATACAAGGCTATCATAAGAAGTTGACATAAATTATACAGTCAAAAACTCGCCACAATAAGACCTGCCTACACTCTTTGCCTGCAGAGTTGGCACTGTATTCTCTAACATGGATCAATTCAGTAAAGCAGCACTCTGAAAACGTTACCTTTTTCTGTATTGAAACCAAGTGAGAAACAACTAACACTTTCGAGCACCAACAAAAAGCCAAAAGATTTCATCAGAATTTCTATTCTGATGCAGCATCTTCATTGTGATCCACATTTGTTCTGATATCAGACAACGTTTCCAGATCTATCAGAGACTCTTTCTCATCATGGATAATAGAGAAATCTGAAGAATCAATGTGGTCCTCTTTAGCCACATCCACAGTCCCACTCATGCTTTCATTTGTTTCACTTGATCCGTTGTCTTCATGCTTAACATGCGCATCCCCAGTTCCATTTGTGCTTATATTTGTTTCACTGTCACTATGTGCATCTCCGGTCCTGTCCGTCGAGGAAGACTGTGAGGTTTCATTTGTTCCACCAGATTCACCGCCACTATTTAATGTTTCATTCTGAGCAGCATCAGTCGTCTCCTTTGTTGCTAAAGACCCAGAGCTGACCTTTCCAACTACTGTTGCATTTGAGCTCATGATTTTTTCTGATAAAGCGAGGTTTGAATTATTAAAGGAATTTCCCAAGGCTGCATCTGCATTTATGGTTTCAGTAGAAACACTGGAATTAGAATTAGATTGATTCCCGTCCGAAATTGTGTTAGAGTTGTTGACTTGTTGCAATACAGTGATTTGAAAGTTAATGGCTTCTAAGTTAGTTGCACCATCGACTGCTGCATTTTGAGCTTGATTTGAAACCACTGTAGTCTCTGTTTCACTCTTCAGAGAATAAGCAGAAATTTGGGTACTCAATCCAGTTGAATTGTTGCTTGTTTCTGTACCTGTTTCAGTCAAATTAGTTCTTGCATTTGAATGCAAGCTAATATCAGGGTTGTTTGATCTAGTGCCATGATCCTTTTCTTCAGTAGTAATTACATTCAACAGACTACCACTTTCAGCCATTTCACCTTCTCCAGATTTTAACTCCGTACTGTTTTGAATCCCATTACTTTCCTCAATATTATTTGTTTTACTCCCATTTTCTAAAATATTCCTCTCCTTCTCGTTTGAATTTTCCAAACTTCCTTTATCAGTCTCAGTGATTGTAATTTGGTTATCATGCGACACAGCACTAGAAGCATCGTCCGCCTTATAATGTTCTTCTCTTGCCACATGAGCGTTTGTATCACCATCATTATCATGATCATCGGATGAATTCTCATTTTCTACTTGATTGTCTTTCTCTTCAATCTCTTTATCATCACCCTCATCTTCACTCTCTTTACCATCAACCTCTCCTTCATTCTCTTTATCATCACCATCTCCTTCCCTCTCTTTCTCTTCATCTAAAAATTCGTCCTCACGATCACCCTCAGATTCTGTTCTTTCTTGATCTTGTTCATCTGTCTCTTCATCTTCACCTCCTCTTCTCTCCTCTTCAGTCTTAGTTTCTTCTTCTTGCTCCTCTTCTTCATGCTTACCAGCTTCTTCTTCTTGCTTGTTTGCTCCTTGCCTTTCATCTTCATGCTTGTTCTCTTCGTCTTCCTGCTCTTCTTCTTCATGCTTTGCTTCTTCTTGATCCTCTTCTACATGCATTCTTATTTCTTTTTGTTCTTCCTCGGGCTTATTCTCTTCCTCCTCCACAGCATCTTCCTCTTCTTCCTCATGCTTCTCATTCTTATCTACTTCCTGCAATTTAGGGAGGTCCTTCCTCCCCAGTTTCAAAATCTCATTATCACTTTGTGCTTTAACTGAGGCTTTTGAGTCTTTCTCATCAAATTCCCTCTTCTTATCATGGGAATGCTTGACTTGGTAGATTAACCAAAAGCAAACACCAAGCAGCAGACAGATCTGCAGAACATGTTTTACCCTGACTCCTTTAGATCTTTGGTTTCTACTTGGTAACCGCTTGATCATTGTGTAATCAATCTAAACCCTTCTAGTATCTACTCGAAATGAAAATGCCGCCTGTGTTCCAACAGGTAACATCAAATAAATAAACAACAAAAATCACTATTCAAAGAATTCAAATAATAGATCTGAATAAAAATTCAATTCAAATTCAACTTTTAAGAACTTAAACAGTTTAATTTTCCAATAACTGTGACCAACACATGATCTAAAATTGAAACCAGCAAATAAATGTCGCTTAGCTGCTGCTTCAATAGGAAATGCAATTCATATAAAGTGCCTAAAACCAAATACCTAAAGATCCATGGCCACAAGTACCTACTGGAAAAAAGGTACAAGAATGAATTCAACCAACTGCTTGTGATCTAGCATGAACTCATAAAATCTATGAAAGCGAGAAACAGTAAATTATTAAAACAATGTTCATAAAACAACCACTTCAACTGAGCCTAGCAATTAGCATGCCACAAATGACTCACTTTCGACAAGTCAATCCAACAAACAGAACTGAGAGGCAGCGTTGTCATAAGAACGAGAGCAAACAATCTATTTAATGCAAGATCTCCAAATTGTTTAGTTACTTAATCTGGATCACTGACACACAACACTGAACTATTATAATTTCTAAAAGCACTCTGTTTTGAGGAAAATACCTATCAGCACAGCTCTAAACTGCTGAGCCGATAGCTTACCATTCAATAATTATAATTGTGCCCGTATCAACATTCTTATGAGTTTTCAATTTCTCGTCCTCAGTTATCATAGAAACAAACAATAGTTTAATTAGTGAATTCGTCTCAGATTCACAAACAACTCATCTCACTTCAATCAGTTATAGGAATCCACAGTCGTTCGATTACTTCCCAACTAGTCATAGTAAATATTAAACAAACAAAACATAATTTACTACACCGCCAAATATAAAAAAAAAAAAAAAAAAAAAAAAAATCAAAAATCAAAAATCAAAACTTTCCAACTGAAATCAAAACTTTCCAACTGAAATCAAAACCATTTAGCAAAACATCAAATCAATGATGATTATGATGATAATAGTAATATAAAACCATATAAACCTTAACCAAAAAAAAAAAAAAAAAAAGCAACCACAAAAAAAACCCTAGAAATGCATGAATCCACCCCACCCCACACCAAATCCAATCTATTCAGATGCAAAACCCCAAACCCATTTGGGAAAAGAGATGATTACCAGTTACGAAGTGAGAAAACACAAACCCACAAAGGAAACTAAACCAGGATGATGAGTTTTAATATTTGAAGCGGAGTAAAAGGAAAACGAAACCCATTAGTTTAAACGAAGGAAAGTGAAGTTGAAGATGAGATAAGTAAAAGAAAGTACCTGAAGCTCAAGTAGTAGAAGTAGAAGTGAAAGTAGGAGTAGAAGTGATGTCAAAGAGGTTTCTTTGAGGAAGAGAGACTCGGGCATACACAGCTTTTCTTACTCTCTTTCATCGTCTAAGTATCGGATCTAATTCTACGCCATTTATGTACTCACGCTCAAGTAGGGAACTCTATGTACTCGCCTCCTTATTTTTTCCTTTTTTTTTATTAGTTTTATTTTAATTGTTCTAATTTGATTTTAATTTATTGAATCCAATTTTTTTAGATAAATGATTTGATTTTGATTTTGATTTTGATTTTTTGTTTTATGTATGAGTGAATTATAATTTAATATTATTGATAAAATTTATAAAAAAATACTCAACTTTATCTTGATTGATTGTCCATTTAATTTATTACATATACAATCAATTAATTGTTTTAAAAATTATATATATATATAGTATGTGTGTGTGTGTGTGTTAGTTAGTTATACCGTGTCCAACTTATGTACAAAGTTCTATTAATTTTCATAAATAATTATATTAAAAAATATATAAATAGGAAATAACCACAAAATTGTTATAAATAGCCTAATATAATATTATCCGATTTAGCACTATAGGGCCTCATGGTTTTGTTTTTGAGTTTTTGAGTTAGGCTCCAAACGTGTCATATTGGGTTAAGGCTATAACCCCATACATACACACACCCCCGCTCACACGGAAGCGATGTAGGATTTCACAACAAAAATGAGATTACCTTTTTCTTTTTACTAATAATACACTAAACAAATCATAGTTTTTTGAAGGTTAAATTGTAAAGTGAGTTGATATGATATATTTAATTAACAACATCATATTGATCAATTGAAGGAGTGAAAATGATTCATGTTATTAATATGTCGATCTATTGAAGTTCAACCTTCATCCCATTGATTTGATTTTATGTTCATGTTGTTTTAGCATATGTGTTATAAACAGTTACACCTTTTTAGCTCTTTTTATTTCCAATTACATGGGAGATATTGCACTTTTTTTTTTATTATTATTATTTTTTTATGATAAGGGTGTTCAATCCAACTTATGCACACTTCAACTAATTCCTAAGACTTAAAACTACTGATCGAGTAAGAACTTCAATGGCCACCTCTGCTGTATTTCTTATCATGTCTTAATTGTCATTTCTTTTTTTCAATTATCTTATTATTACTTCAAATAAAAAGAAAAGTAAAAAGAAAAAAAGACACAGTTGCTGCATGTTTGAAATTTGAATTACCAAACACATTATTGGCATTATTCACACTAAAAATAATATTATCAATGATTTCCTATATCTAATTTATGAATATTATGTTAACAAAAAGTGATATGATTTAGTTGAGATGTTTTTGATGCTTCACACGTGGTTGATGAGGGTGAAGACTTAGGGACATGTTAAATTAAAATTTTTTAATTTTTTTTTATATTACTTATAGACTTTAATTCTTAACCATTAGATCAAATAAAATAAATAATTAAAAAATGTGTCAATTATTTATAACAACATTTTAAGTTAGAAGATGACAACAGAGCCCGATTGATAATTACAGTAAGATAATGAGAATTGCAATATAAATGTATGTAAGACTATATATAATAATTATAATCAATTTATTGTGCTTATGCGACTAGTATGTAAAGAATTGTAGTCGATGAAAGCATTAGATTAGAATGATGAAGCCCGATTAGAATCAGCAGAAATAAAAAATTAAGAACTAGTATGAGTGAATTTATTTCATGAACAAGCCCCTAAGTGATCGAGTGCTTCGATATAGACTCTTTAATATATTATTCAAGAGGTCTCAAGTTTGAGTTTCTCTTCGATTCCTAATAGAGGTGACTACTAAAACTTTTACTTGATTGATAATTCTAAGGTCATAAGAGATTAGTTGAGGTACGTGTAAACGGACCTAAATACCCCCCGTCATAAACAAAAATAATAAAAAAAGAGAAGTTATTTTCACGTATTCTCACATGAAATCGTAAAGGTGGTAGGTGTAGCAAAGACAGGACTGAGAAGTTTGGTTAAGTGAATATGATAGGAAGTTTAGTGGCACTAATCACATTTTTAATCAATAGCTAATTAACCATGATCAACATCAAAATCAGAGTGGGAAATGAAATATATAGATATGTTTGTTTTTCATGCTGATTTCAGAATGGAAACTCATTAATGTGAAGTAAAGTCTTTGGCTAGCTTGTGGAGGCGACACCATTCTGCATTGTGTAGCTTTAGAATTAAAAACAGGTTGGATTTTAAGCTTACAAAGTTACTATCAGATGGTCTAAATTAAGCTGGTGAGGTTGCATGGCAACAAGCCTGATAACTATTCCAGTATCAGAAAATGTAGTTTGTGATTCTAATGTTATTATCACAGCTTCAAGTTCTGTAGTTTCATGGCCATAATTTGAAAGAAAGAAAGAAAGAAAGAAAGAATTGTATAAATTGGGAGAGATTATATAAGAGCAATGGTGGTGAGATTTATCATTTTAGACGAGCGGGTGTGGTGGGTGCAGGCAGCACTACATGTTAATAATAATGGTTCACACATTTCTCAAACCAAAAAATCAATTTCTAATTAGCACAGTGGTGTGCTGTCGTAGGTACCTAGAATTAAAACCCTAAAAATACACGTAGTAGTGTGAGTAGGGATCGTTCCCACAGAGAGTGTCTAGCTGAGTTTTATGTTACGTGAACCAATATGGGGGGGATTTTAGTAAAAACAGAAACAATTTCAGGAAAAGATATTCAACCTAAATTACCGAAATCAATCAAAATAACGAAACGTGGTCTAAGTCAACATTCATCATCGAAATCTTACAACTGATCATTGATGCAAAAATAAATCAATTCTTACTTTAAGTATTCACCGTTGGAGCTATTTTCCTATCTTTCCTTAGTTGTAGTTAATTAGAAAACAAACGATCTAATTAATTTTACTACTAAACAACCCTAGACAAGCGTTAAAGATTTAATCTAGTGGCAGCGTTAAGAACTAGAGAGATCGATGAAGCTAAACAATACAAACTCAAGTGGTTGTATTTAATTTAGTTGAATGTTCTTCTTAAGACTTAATAATTCCTAACGCAGCAAATTCTTAAACCCTAATTGCTTCATAAGTTAAAGGGATCAAACAATTACAGATTTGATATCTAACTTAGCAGTAGATTGCAACAAATAATAAACTAGTAGGCCTCGTAGTAATTAAACACAACAATCATGACAATATGCATAGAAGAACATCCAATACTCAAAACATAAATTGAACACTAAAAGCAGATAGATCTCACAGTTTTATTGATTCCGAGGTCTCCGTTTTCTTCGACTAAGTTATGAAAGTTTAGCCGCTCATGGGCATGAAAAACTCAAAAGAAAACGAAGAAGAAAGACAGAAAGAGAGGCATGTGTGATTCCCCAATCTCAATTTGATCTCTCTCTCTCTCTCTCCCCTCTTAAAGATATCCAATTCAAATTGAAGTATTTGAATCTACTAAATCTCCTCAAATTATTCTAATATCCTAAAATAACATTTATACTAATCTGATTCTAATTAATTGAAAATAAAATAAGGTCCTAAAATAAAATAGGAAAGTGGTGTGTCCAGCTGTAACTTGCGTGCAACAGGTCTTCAAATCTTCTAATAATAAACTGCCTATTTGAATTGCATGACAAGGCCGAATGTTCTAGAACGTCGGCAGTGCAGGTGTATCAACTTCAAGCCCAATTATAACCTTGATTCAGCAAGTATCTCTCCAAACTCAAAACATGAAAGTTGTAGAGATTTTCCTTCTAGTTCCACAGAATTTTGAATCGCCTCAATCGGAGCTCGGATGAGAGAGTTATGCCTAGATTACGAAGCGATGTCAAAACTGTCCGAATTCACCTAATTAGTTTCGTTTTGCATTTAACTCCTCCATTTGCATCCTAAATCAAAATAGAATAATAATGAGTACATTTAGGCAACAAATAAGTATAAAAGACTAGACATTAAAGGGGATAAATATGACATTTTGCATTCTCATCACACAGCACCTTTGTGTTTTCAACCAATGTTTTGAAACCCAACCCGGGGTGTCACCCGGCCAAGGGGTTGGGTCCCGAATGTTATAAAATGAAGAGCAGAGCAATTTGGGAAGAAAGAATGCTTTTGATATTATTTCATTGTTTGAGAATATGCTTACAACTCAATACACTTCTAGTCTTTATATCTTTTATTCACTAAGCAACAGTATGCTAACTAACCAACTATTTAACCATAGTAATACAATTGACAAACTATAGTTAATCCAACTGTCTCCAACTAATTCTGTAATTACTCAAACTAAATAGGCTACAGCACACTTAACAGTTTATCCTCCAATACCTCCCCTCAAGTTGGAGGGTGATAGATATTCAACACGCCCAACTTGCTTAATAGATGATGATGCACTTTACTTCCAAGAGCTTTGGTGAAGAGGTTAGCTGGTTGATCACGAGTAGAAACATGAGCTATCTTGATTAAACCATCTTTGAGTTTGGCTCGAACTATATGACAATCAATATCAATATGTTTTGTGCATTCATGAAACATGGGATTAGATGCTAGGTGAAGTGCTGATTGATTGTCGCAACATAAAGTAGCAGGAGCCAAATTATTGAATCCAAGTAAAAAAGAAGTTGGACAAGCCAAACAATTTCACAAACAGTTGAAGTCATTGCCCTATATTCGGCCTCAGAATAAGACTTTGAAACAGTAGCTTGCCTCTTAGATTTCTAAGATAACAAAGACTTACCAAGTAAAACACAATAACCTATGACTGATTTTCTGGTCATTAGCAATGAAGCCCAATCTGAGTCACTATAAGCCATTAATTGGATAGAGTTATCAGAAGGAAAAAACAAACCAAGTCCAGGGGCACTTTTCATATACCTGACTATCTTCAAAGCAACAGTCATATGAGATTGCTTTGGAGACTACATGAATTGGCTTAAAATGTTGACTGAATAATTGATGTCAGACTTGGTCATACAAAGATATAAAAGCTTGCCCACAAGTCTATGATAAGAGGTGAGATTAGATCAAAGAGGATCGACAAAAAGATTGAAGAGC